AAAAAAAAAAAAAAAAAAAAAAATGGTACAAGAAATCTTGCTTGAAAATATCAACTTTATTAATACACAGTTTATAAATAAAATATATACTAGTTGAAAAGTGCTTCATATTATTATAAAATTTATTGTAAATTCACACATGTATTGTTTCACTATTGTTTTGACAAAAATGGGCATCATTTGTACAAAGTATGTATTTTTTTCTTATTTAAATACTCTGTATTATAAGGTAATGTACAAAAATTTGTTATAGAAATTCATAATATTATGTTCTTAATAAAATTTCTTCAAACATTTTGGCCTTCGTCTTTTCAATATGCACATACCGTAGTGTCTTATATCTTGTTTTCTGATATTTTTAAAATTCTATAATGAAGTATTTTTTCATGTAATGAACATATTCAATACACGAACATATTCAATATAATGTATTTTCCATTTGTTTAAAATTATTTCTATGACCAGTACGTTCAACGTTCACAGTATAATATATTTTCTATTTGTTATAAATAACGCATTCTTGTTCACTTTCGGTCACCGCATTCTTTTTTAAATCTTAGAATATTTTTACTATATTATCTTCTTAGATCTGTATGCTGTGAAAAATTGTTCTGCATAAAAAATTGTTGATGTACTTTTTAAATGCTGTATTATTTAAGATATTCTGCACATGGTCCTCCTTTTAGCAAAATTCAGAAACAGAAAAAGAATAACAACAGTAAAGCACTATTTGAAAGAGAATCTTAATTGTCCAGTATTCATTGCGCACTATAAAAATCGAATTAATAGAGTTCACTCTAATTTTTTTTTATTATCTAACCACATAATGCAACATTATGCCGATATTCGAGCAGTTTTAAGTTTTGTGTTTTATTTTTGTTACAAGTACACAAATACCAAAATTCATTGGTTTTTTGCTATGAAACACAGTGACCACCCAGTCTAAAATGACTTTGGCATTTGGTTCAGGTTATGCAACATAATTATACTCATTTGCATTATCTTTATCTCGTTCCATGTAATCCCTATCTATGAGAGATTCAATTCTCTTTTTTAAGTCTGCAGGCTGAAATAATTTTTTTCGTAAAATTATATGTTAATATATATTTAAAATATTTTAAATACATTAGTTTATAAATTAATAATATACCTTCACAGGAAACTTAAGTTGATTGTACAGTTCACTAATCAACAAATTGTGTGAGAGTGTTTTCCTCATTTTCATAATTCTGACAATAGCTGCATCTATTTGATACTGTCTATCCTGATATACTCTTTCCTCTGTAGCTTTCTGTTCCTCATTCTGAAAAAGAAGAATATATTTTTAAAATTTATAACATGTAAAAGAAAATAAATAATCAAAGAATTATTATATACCGTTTCTTTCATTTGAATTTGATTTATTTTAATCCTGAATAATTTATTTGTAAAATCTGCATTAAAAACAAATTTATCATTATCTGCAACATCTCTACCCCTTGGATTTTTTTGTAATACTCTGGCTTTTCCACAAGCTAAAGATTGTAAAGTTCTTCTGAGCTCTCCATCTTCTATATTTGTTGCTGTCTTTATATCTTCTAAGGACAAGTTATCAGCATCATTAAACAAAATTAACACTAATGCTTGGAATAACGAAACCTGGAGTTCTTTGTTTCCCTGTTTTGACATTTAAATAAAATATTGTTGTGAAACATATAGGTAACTATTCAATGTGTATGTAGTATGAAAATAAATGATACCTGATTAAACCAAGCTTTTAGTACACAATGCCCCAAGGTAGGTTGCCATTGCAATTTTCTACCACTGTGTTTTCCCAAATAGAATTTATTAAATACATCTTGATATTGAACCATTTCTGGTGGTAATGTTACTTCCATTACAGGATATGTTGGCCAATAACCCATTGTAAGTATTGAAACAGTTAAATCCAAGTTACTAGCAGATAATTCACTTTGCAAATTTCCTGCATACTAGTACATGGTATAAAGAAAGTTTAATAATTATGTAATTAAACAAATTATATATAAAACAAAATGCGTTTTAAATAAAAAAAGACAACATAACTGGATATAAATTATACTTACCTGTTTAAAGGCAATATTAATGTCTTTACTAAGTTCCATATCTTTGAACATTCCTTCCAATTTACTAGTAAATCCACCACCACATTCTTGTTTTAACTTAGACAACATGGACTTTTCAGCATCAACAGAGGCTGATTTACCAACTAACAAACGTTTAGCCAAATCTTTTTTATAAAATGCTTCAAATACATCTTTCCCATGTATAAATCTAAACAGTACCATGATTTTATCTAATAATCTTTCTAATTCTTCTTCCGTCGCTTCTTTATTACCCGCTCTTAACTTGCAATCAACAAATTTCGCTGTAATTACAATATAAATTAATTAACACAAATAATAATTGTTATTATCCCATTAAAAAAGTAATATTACCTATTAATTCAGCGGGTTTATTTGCACGTTGATTTATGAAAGCTTCAAAAGCTTCTTTTAAGCTGTTTGCAAATTTTTCATTCTTATGAAAACAGGTATTAACTATATTGTCCATTTTATCTTTAAAATCTAAAAGTTCTTGAACCATAGTTTTATCTTTTTCAGGATCTATTACTATGGTTTTACCTTTTTTCTATCAAGACAAAAGAATAGTATATGTATCATTCAAATTACATAATATAATATCTAAGAATTTATAAAATACCTTAATATAAGAATTAAAATTTAGACAAAGTTCTACAAGGCCGTTTTTTACTCGACTATATAAATTATAAAGTAAAGATAAATCATTAATTCTATTTTCATCCAGTAAACCACTTAATCCTTTTTGTAAAATGCTAGTAATATGTTCTGACAATAATTGCTTTTCCACTGTGTGTATTAATGACCATCTATAACATCAAATGGACAATGATATTATAGTTGTAATATCAAATATCAATAGATACAAAATATTAATGAAATAAATATTACTTTGTAGATGCATCCAGATAATGTAACAAACGTTCATTTTCTTCCTGAAGCCGTTTGTCTACATGTGCTAAGTACTCTGGAACATCATGTTCATTCATCAGTCGTTGACCTTCAGCAGCATATAATCTTTCAGTAGCAACTAGAAATCTATAAAAATCAAAATTTAGTAAATTTTATTATGAAACATTATTTTAATCTCTATTATACTATATTAATGTAAAAAAATTCATACTTTGTTTCAAAAGCATCTTGGTAGATTTGTAAATCTGATAACATTCTTAACAATGACTTAAGAAGCGTTCTATCCACTGTATCACCTTGACGTTCTTTTTCAATAAGCATAAGAAGTCCTTCTACTGTACGTGTTTGAACTAAGTTATTCAGAACAATATATACTCTGAACAAGTGTAAACCCATATCCCTAAAATAATATAACATAACAATAATAAACAAAAAGTACATAAAAATTTGATGTATTTAAATACATTAAAAAATACATACCAAATGGATAAAATACTTGGATTTTGCAATACATATGTTCTATCCAAATATAAAAAAATACTTCTAATCATAATCATTTGTCTGCAGTGTGATTGCCAACATTCATTCATTTTTTTTAAGAATATATGCCTATCCATCGATTCTGCTAAGAACTGTTCTATATTTGCTTCTACATGAGCTTCTGTTAACCTTGTTAGTTTTTTATATAATGTAGATGCCATCTTATGATTACACATATTTTCAACTGCTTGGTAAAGCTCTTCTAATGAATAACGAATACTTTTACTGGTTTGTATTGCAATTACTGCTTCTTGTAATTTTTCCCATGTTTGCTCTTGATAATTTTCTGGCAATTTTGGTTTATCTACATAAAATTTATAATATCAATATTCATATTTATTATTATTTTTTGTATAGATATTATTCTCAAGAATGTTATATTTGCTATATACTTTAATGTCCACATTGTAGATTTTTATGTACTGAAATCTTTATGAAAATAAATTAATTTAATGCAAATATTCAATTATTCATATAATACATTCTTCATAATTATGTACATTGATAAATGCATCTTTTATATCTTTTTTTATAAGTGATTTACTTTAAAGTAAGAAAAAATAAACAAATCGAAAAATAAAGTAAAGTCATAAATATATTGTGATTTTACTACTTCTATCATTGTTAAAGTTCTTTCATACTTATTTTCATTAGTCATCCGATCAAATTAAAGATATAAATACACGAATTGATATCTTTAATTACACAATCAATGGTAATCCGAAACTTCTGGTAAGTACATAAAAAACAAATAATACGCCTTAAAAACATTTATCTCTTTCAGTTATTCAAAGTGTCAAGTTAGGTTATGTCAGCTTAGTTTTATTAATCGTATTTAGAATTAATTCAGTCTTGACTAGGCAATACAGGGCAAATGAGTACCACAAAAGTTATAAAATTGTGTTAAAAAGAATGTCGCAATTCACGAAGGCACATTGCCAACCATAAATTACACCACGAATCTTCACGAACAGTAGCAGCTGATTTTGAGGTTAGGTAATCCCGTTGTCTTGCTTACTTTTGAAGTTTTTGATGACGAGCTTTCTAGCTGTACCAGGTTTTGCGTTTGCCAAACTTGGTGAAATCTTGTTGACGCCGTTCGGATTCCCAACAGTTAAAGCTGAGAAATTGGCCCTCTTTTGAGTATCGGTCGTGGCTGCAGCCGTATCCGTCATGTTTTCAATCTCGTTGATCTCCGTGACCGCAACGGCGGACAGCTTGCTGCGTTTTGCAGCACCAAAGTTTAGCACCGCTGCGTGATCAGCGGCCGTCCTCTTCACCTGTGCTGTGGCCAGAACCTGAGTCCCCCCGAGCCTAGACATATGCGTGCATCACTCGGCCACCGGCCCTCAGCACACGGAAAACACGGTTTTCCACTGAGAAATTGAAAGAATCCTCCCGCTTCGAAAGAATTCTGCCTCTTTATCCCTCTATTCGACAAGCGGAAAAACTTATTTATCTCGAACCCTGCTTCTGACGAAACTCACGAACAATTGGCAATCTATGCACATGCGCGATACATTTACGCGGTGCTGTCCGTATGCTTACCGCGCATTTTTAACCGTTATAATTTTCATATTTTTTCTATATATTGTATTTTATGAAATTATATTTTTTTTAAAAGAAATTACATAAAATGTTTTCATATATTAGAAATTTTATTCCATATTCAGATATATGTTCATTTTTTTCGGAAAATATTTACAATAGACTAATGATACACAATGTATACAAGTGGAAATACTATACTAGAATATATTTCAATTACTTTCATTTATGGAAAATAGTTACTTTAATACATAGTGTATTTAATTTTATAGCCGATTTGAAATATTATTCATTTCTAAGAATACATAGATATTTTAATGCTTAGTGTATTAATATTGTTTCTTAAAATATGTTACTTCCTATTCACACATTTCTATCTTACGTAAATAAATTTTGTTTAATTAAAATATAGAAAAATACGTGTGCGTATAATATATACAACTAAATATAATTAAAATATTTGATTAAAATTCTTGGATATTATAAAGTCTGCTATTTTAAAAATCGTTTTTATTGAAATTTTATATAAGCAGCAAATTAAAATAAATTTTCTTTTAATTTTATTATTTATATTTACATTCTATATCTAAGTATCTTGATTTTTTTATAGATCTTTTTTCTGTATTAAAAAATACTAACCATAAATTTAAATTGAAACAGAAAGAAATAACATATATTTTATGTAAAAGATGCTACAAAAGTCGTAAAAATGTACGTTTTATGGTAACAAAGTAAAACGTAATAAAAGTAACATTATTTAATCTTCGATCGGTAATGCCTGGATCTTTTTGGAGCCGATTATAGTAAAACTTCGTAATATTATGTATACATAGATAACTAATATATGTTAAAAATTTGTATGTAAAATACACTACAAAAGAAAATGATATAACTTCTATAGATTATCAAAATTAATAATAGATATTTTTAAAAAAAAGGAGGTCAAATCGAAAGGGAATCTTAGAAGTTAGGGAAAAAACATTACCTATAATATATATAGAAAGATATGAAACGAGGTCAAATGAATCCAGGCACTGCTTTTATGGTCGGCTAAATCGTTGGCTCCTCGATACTTAAACAAGCAAATGAAGTCTTCTATTCTATACAAATATGTTGTTTTCTTATACAATTAAACAGTGTAATTATATATCGAAGTATATTAAATTTGTTCTATTACTAAAATGTGTGAATATGACTCATCAGCTTGTAACAATTTCTGCTTGAACATATACACACTTTGCAACTATAGCGATGCTATATTACTTTCATTTTTCCCCCTTTTTCATTAAATAAATTCTACATTAATCATTTAAAAAATGAAAATTGAAAATTATATATCTGAAATTTTTAATTTAGCTAAAAGTTGTCTTGATACTAAAATTATTTCCCATGAACTACATGTTACCCTTTTGCTTACAGGAGTAAAAACAGGTACATTTTTTATTCAATATTTTAAAAGAAACGACTAAAGAAACCTTTCTTCTTCTCTTGTTTAGTTGTCTTTAAGAAAATGTGATCAATGTCTTTAAAAACATCTGTAGTAGATTGAGCTGCATTAACATAATAATGAATCCCTTGCAAAGCATAATAATCAACCAATGGTTGAGTTTGTATATGATATGTTGCTAATCGTGTCTTCAATGCTTCTGTATTATCATCAGATCTTCTAATTAATGGTTCTCCAGTAATCTAGTAACAAAAAATTATTTGCTGCTCAATATACTTTTTGTTTTCACTTATAAATTGCAAATTAATAAAAATAATCATTATCGCTTACATCATCTTTCATAGATTCTTTAGGAGGAGCAAATTCTTCATGATATGATCTGCCACTAGCAGGATGTATTAAACGACCTGTGATTCTTTTTATCAATAGATTATCATCAATCCCAAACTCTATCACAGCATCTAACTTAGTTTGTCTTTTCTTTAACATTTCATCAAGCTATTAAAAAAAATATTTTTAATTTTAATAATTTTAATTAAAAAAAAAAGTAAAAGAAGTATATTTTGTACCATTATTTGTAATATCAAAACTAGTTTTTATTTTTCTTATCTCAATGTCATATCAAGGTTATCAGTCATTTTAAAAAATAGTATAAAAGCAAACTAATAATTATTAAAAATATTGATTTTGAATTATTTAAGCATGACTTTAAAAATATTTAACTTACTTTTTCAGCTTGTGGAACACTTCTAGGAAAACCATCCAACAAAAAACCACGTTTACATTCAGGTTTATCTAAATTACGATCAATCATATTAACTACAAGATCATCACTAACTAATTTACCATCATCCATTATTTTTTTAATTTCTGTTCCAATAACTGATCCAGAACTGATTTCTGCTCTAAGCATATCACCTGTAGATAGATGACATACACAATATCGTTCTTTCAATAGTGGTGCCTAAAACGTAATAGATATTTGGTTAAATAATTTATTTAAATATGCGGAAGTTGGATTAAAAGTTTAATAGAAGTTTTACCTGTGTACCCTTACCGCTACCAGGTGGTCCTAATAAAACTGCATTAATACCTTTGTTCGGTACATTTTTTGGAAGTTCTGAAATATCATTTAATACTGCTTCTGCATGCGGAGCCATTTTTTTATTATCTTTCGCTTTTTAGTGAAACTTGAATAGAACAAATTTAAAACGATTGTATTAAAGTTTACTATCAAGAGTACATATCACTGTTATGAACAACGTGACCAACATATACCATTAATTCTCTTCGAATTTTCCGAAGAATACAGTGAAACGCGAGTATACAATATAGTGAATATAGAACACTTACCTCATCTATCGTTCTGCATTTAAACTAATATCGATTTAAATCGAATTAAATCGATTGCTAACAATTTTAATTCAAATTTTCAATATTATCAAGTTAGCAATCTATTAAGAAATAAAAATTTCAGTTGTTCTAATATTTATAAAAGAACATAAATGCATGTTGGCAAATATTAATTAACATTTTAAATATAGAGTCATATTTAAAACTTTATATACTCCTTTTTTCAAAATAACATTACATATTTATATTACATAATAAATAAATTCTTTATTATATTATTGGACAAACACACAAACAACATATTGAACAAACTACAATATTGGTTATAATAATTTTAATACATTCAATAATTGTATAGCTCTGAGATCTACGTTATATATGTAAAAATAAATTTTATTAAATTTACCTTAAAAAGACAACAAAAGACATTTTCAATTACAGTAATTTAACTGCAAGTAATTTTTTTTAAATTGATTTAAATTTTAATATTTCAAACAAAGCTAATTTTTATAATATTACGTCATGATTGTACTAATAATGTGCAGAATAAATATCTTTTCCTTTCTACGAAATTTTCCAATTCAGTTGTAAAAGGAAATACATGATTACTGCTTTATTTGCTTTGAAAACTACATATTCTCACAAAATCACAGTGAACACATAATTATTGTCAATTCGTTAATTTAACGTTATCTACAAAAACTTCTGAAAATCTAAATATTTATTTATTTTCTTATACATATTGCATCATAATAACGAAATAGAAATAGTAACAAATTTTTAAAATAAAATTTTTAATCATATTTTTGTTATATTTATACGCATAAATAGAATAAATATTATTTGAATAGAATAATATTATACTATGATATATTATAAAATATTTCATCATAAAAATTATTCTTGTTGAAAAAGAATAATTACTTACAAGGAGAGTGTAGGTCTTCAGGTCACCGATTTAGTTGAAACTTTACAGGTTTATAGATTTTGTCATTCAGTTGAAGAATATATATCATTATAGCTGCAACTACTTAATAGTTTTCGAGATATTTATAATTAAAGTTTTACTATAAATTAAATTATAACTTCATCTCCAACATTTTCTAAGTGGGATTGTTGCGATAGTCGAGAATTCCTACGATGGAGGCGGAATGCAGTTCAATTCCCCAGTCCCATAGTTGGTAGTTTTTTTCCAATCTATTTTTTATTTTGTATTCATTTTTCGCCTATGAAAACATTGTAAATAAACAGTTGTAAATAAAATTTTTAAATAAAAAAATTTATTTTTTACGCTATCTTATGCTAGTATATATTTCTTACAAAATAATAAGAATACTATGCAAGAAAAACAGTTTTTTATAGCAATCTTATTTACTACAGAAAGAAAACGAAAATATAAATAATCATTAGATACAGGAAATACAAAAACTATTGCTCATGTAATTATTAATTATTAAATTAAACATTGTATAAGAACGTTGTCTTCAATTTCAACTTTGCTGTACAGCTATAAATGTTCATGAATTAATTACAGAAACTTGTAAATTTATTAATTTTCTACTGCCGAATTGCTTTATTAAGATGTATTAGGAGCACATAACCAGAAGAGGTATCAGTTCAAATAAAAATTTTGCCGCCTGCGATCAACGCCATCTATGATTTTGGACCTAAAACTCACAAAAGTAATAGGAATACAGAATAGGCGAGGAGGTCATCGAAGAGTTTGACACGTGACAGACAAGAACAGAGAGAGAGTAGAAAAGGATAGGGCTCCGACAATGAAAAGTTAATAAATTACTCAATTTCTGTAATTAATTTATGAACTTTTATAATTACATTGCAAAGCTAAAACTTTAGGCAACATTCTTATAGAATTTTCGTAAACAATTTAGCGCTAATTTGTTAGTTATTAATTATTGTTTGGTGGTGTCCATGATTTCGTAACGATGGCCGTCACGATTTTCCGTGAAAGTATTTAATACTAAACGAAACTAGAATCAAAATGTGAACAAAAGTGATATGTGAAGACGCCCCAGGATATCGTTTATATAATGCGTGCATGAAGGTCATAAATTGATTTCGCAGAGGATAGTAATTAATGAAAAACCAATGGCGTCTTCGACAATTCAAACACTTCGTAGAATAATAATTAATAAATAATTAATTAGGGACAAATTTATATCAAAAACTGTATTGGAAAGTTCTTGAAGGATTTGACTATATGTTGCAATTATAAAAGTTCATAAATTATTCACTGATATTGAGTAATTAGTGAATTTTCCACTGCCGATTTGATTTATTAAAATATATTAGGGAGCACATAACCAGAGTTAGTAAACTAACATCTAAGAACCCCAGTCCTCCAGCATAAGAATTCTCAACTGTCGCAACAATCCCACTTAGAAAATGTTAGAAATGAATTTATAATTCAATTTGTACTAAAACTTTAATTATAAATATCAAAAACTATTAAATAGTTGCATCTATAAAAACATATATTTTTGAACTGATTAATGAAATCTATAAACCTGTAAAGTTTCAACTAAATCGGTGACCCGAAGGACTTACACTCTCCTTGTCAGATCAGAATTCTATAGGTGTTTATCACATTAAAATTTTATTCTCAACTGTAATATCTGAATACATATAAAATCTTATATCTTTTAATGAAGTGCAAAATACACAAAGCAAATTGTAAATATAAAATAAAATAGTTTATTCAGTCGAATTTTATAATTAGTCAATATTAGGACGGCATAAAGGTAGATGAAAATGATAAATAATAAACTAAAAATTATAATTGTTAACAATTATAAATTAGTAGCATTTCATTTGTTTTACTTTACCAAAGAAAAATACATAATTTTCTTTGGCCAAAAATCAACAAATTCTATCAATAAAACATTAACAATGTAACTATCAATCTTATTTTTAAGTAATTCAAATATCATATTTATTATGATATCTGGTATATTATAACATGAATTTATTTCAATAATAGCCACAGTACTAAAATAAATTATTTGTACTCAATATATATATACATATATATGATATAATCACAATAGAATTTAGTTATATATAAATAACATGTAAATTATATATTTAAATAACACATTTCGAACAATATAAATTATTATTCCAATCATAAAGTAAATGTAATTATTGCACATTTATGTATAAAACAGAAAAGTTAATCTTTAACAATTTCTTATGTCCTTCTATATCCATATAAATCTTCAGTACAAATTATATTATGCATAGTTTATTATTATTAAATACTTAAGAAATTGTTATATTATCAATTTTTCTAAAATTGGAATTCTTTCTTTTATTGGAACATTATATTCTAAAGTTCATTACAGTATTATATATTGCATAATGCTTGGTGTTAATTTTTATACTCTTGGAAACTTGTGTATATGTTACTTAATACTTTGTAATTATTCATTTCTTTCTCAATAAATATTTTAAATAGAGTAATTATGTACTAAAATAATACTAATATTAAGATGCTTGGTCACAAAGGCTTATTAACAGTATATTATCTATTTTATCTACGTTATTTCAACAAAGTACTTCTGCTAAATTTTTTATAATTAATTTGCAGAAACATTAAATAAATACTTATTTACTTGTCTTAATTTAAAAATTCTTTTATCGGTTAGCAAGTATTCTAATCTGCAAATATTCTAAGTTCGTTTTTCAGTATCGAAAATAGATTAAATTACAGTGTACTATATTATTTATAATAATAGATAAATGATAATGAAGTTGATGAAAGCAATATTATGATACAATAAATAAATAATCAAATTTCAAATATATTTAAATTAGATAGTGTACCCACATAACTTTACTTAAAATATTCTATAAATATAACAGAAACACATTTGATTTCTTTATGTAATTAAAATACACAAGTCTTTGTTAATTAAAAAATGTTACAAGATTACTAATATATTACACAAAATAAGAAAATCTCAAATTTAATATGAACTTTGGAATATTTGCATGTAATTAAATATTATACAAGTCACAAGTATTTCATATAACTCTTATGGAAGTAGTAACTGTATGATTGAAATGATTGCATTTCATTATAGTCATTTTCTTTGCAGAATTGCAATCTGCAAATCGATGGAACTTATAGTAATTATATTATACGTAAATGTAAATATTTATATGTGCGTGCATACATTTTTAAATTCGCTATCGAAATACGGTTTATACAATTCTATAAATATTATTCTCTTTGTAAGAATAAATCTAATTAATATCATGTTTATATAGTAAATGCAAATTTTATTTGCTTGCATAAAGCACTTTCACCAACAAGTATTTTTCGTAATTCATTTCCTCGATTAATAGAATTTCAGTAAAAAAGTTCATGCATTTTTTTTAATTCCCTGATTTCTCATAATTTAATCCTTTTTATAAAGGATCAAGTAATCCGTGTAGTATCTTGAACTTCTTTTCATATAATTTTTCATTTAAAATGTTATATATAACTGCAATTATTCACAAATTTATTATATTAATTAAGCATATATTGCTATATCTTGTAGATTAAAACAAATTTCGTTAAATTATATATATATATTACGCAAATTTTCGAAATTTTGTCTATATCTTTATATTATAAAATTTTCCAATACATAATCGTTAATACCGTACTCCAAGTGAAACTCTTTGAATATATGTGTGAATCTAACACACTAGGAAAATCTAGTGTGTTAGACGCCTGTTTCATATAGTTTCTTGACTGTTGACTGATTGTGAGCTGCGCGAAGTCTTTCGGTTCAGTGGTTCTAGATAAGCTGCTGGTGCCCATCCTTCTATTCCAGTACTTATTAATTTTACAAACCACCATCCAGCACATCCGACTTTAAGAAGTTCTAGATTGTCTCCCTCGCGCATTGTAACTTCTGACTGTCCAACTGCACAATAATC